CCGGGACGAATGGTCTGGGGTAGATATTTGCATAACTGAAATGGCTCTGGTATCACCCCCTCTATAGGCAGTATTTGGAAATGTTTTACTCGCCCCCGAAGACTTGTGTGTTGTATTGTGAGTTGGAATAACTTACCCCCCCCCCCTCCCGAGTATAGAGGTCGTCCTTGATGATTGTAATTTGTATAGACAAGGCAATTACCATATTTTCTCTATTAGTAGTTCACACACAAAGGTAAATAACAGGTGTATCTCCATATTTCAATGACCCAGTATACAATAAATGCTATTGCAAATAGGATAATGATATTTGAATATTAGTTTTAAAACATGAAAAAAATGAAACAGCACAATCCAGGGATGAATAATTTGAATTCCAACCATGCTTCGCACAACAACAACAACAGATGGCTTATTTGCTGCAACACAGAATTGACATATTGCTTTTCAATGAGTACAATGATATTGTTTTGTTATTAAAAATTGTTTGTCTGGATAATTACAAAATACATCAGTGAATCTAAAATGCAATGTCAATATCAAGTTGTGCAGAAGACAAGGGTCTTTAAAGTGCCTGTTAAACGCCTGCTACCCGAATGATCAATTATTGGAATGTAAATATTATCACAGTTTATATATCTGAGTACAAAATAAATTTTAATAAAACAATGATTTTCAAAGTTGCTATCTACTACCAGGCATACATTTCACAACGAGGCTCTCATTTGCATATAACACTGGTGACGTCACCAGGAGACATTGCTGCATAACATAGACATGGCAGTGGGACTGTCCCGGTAATATGGTTCTGCAGAACGCTTCCAGTATCAATTTATTGCCTATTGATTTAAATCATCCAAAATAAACTTCCACTAAATTTTGATAACAAATCTTCAATGACAAATACTACACTGCATTATTAGTACATTGAAAATTGAATTCCTTTAAAATACAGGACCCAATTAGTGTGACTTGTATATCCTGAAAGCTCAGATGTGAAAGATGCTGGCGATGGATTCCACTTTCAATTTGAGTTTGGATTCCATGAAGATGTTCCTTTTTTTCCCAATCACTTTAGGCCTCTAGAAAAAAACTGCCAGAGGGAGCACTGGAATTCATTGGCACCACCGAGTGGGGGAGATGGGTTTCTCCCTAACAGGGTGTGGATAATTCTAAGTTAAAATGGAGCATTCTATGGCTTCCTTGGGGTCAAAATTACTATCAGACAGGTCACAGTTGAAAACTGTGGTCACATGTGATCACTGGTCAATCAGAATTTTATGGTTGCCAGAGGATCTGCTCCCCAGAGTAAGGGGGCGCAGCGCCCCTGTTCCCTTGTTTAAAAAAATAATCCCTGGAAGAACTGCATAATTCAGAGATAGCAGACATGACTAGAATGGAAAATTATTTTAGATTGATGGTTTTAATTTTCTTTGATCTGGTCCCCAGGGTAGGGGGCGCATGGCCATGGCATGAGGGCGCTGCACCCCTGTTCCCTTGTTTAATAAAATCCCTGATATCGGTATATTAATTTCCAACCTGCCACCACGGCTTATAATGATACATCTTGAGTTTGCTCTCTGTTTGATATACCGGTATATATAAATCAGTGTGGAAATGATTTATTCAAAGAGAAATAGAAAATAAAAGCATGTTGCACAAATGTTTAACTGTTTGAACACCAAAGGATTAGTGAAACAGACACAAATGTGCATACACATGATATGTAACCACATCCTTTTTCACAAATTAATAAAAACAATCGGTTTTTGAATTTCATACAAATTTATTAAAAGCCAACATCAATGTGCCATTTTAAACAAAAAAAAAATGTACATTTAAACGAGTTGTACTGAAAACACACAACAGAATGAAAAACATTAAAAAATAATCTTTGACCTGAGAAGTCACAAAAAAAAAAGAAAATATAAAAGCAAACTACTTTATTGCACAGTAATGTATCTATAGAACAGTAAAAGTAACAAAACATGCATAGTCCTGGATGCGAGAAAACAAAAGTAACAGAACACAGTAAATCGCTTCATTTTGTGAAGATTAAAATTATGAGTAGTGGTCATTTAGGCAATGCGTCAGCAATTTTTGCTAAATATCATTTTCACAAACATTCTCAAATCAAGTCACAAAAATATATTTGTTGATACTAATTCAAAGTGCAACTCTAGGCTAAAAACATAGGACTCCAAGATAAAAGGGCTCCACAAATGCAGATAATAGAATTTACAGTTTTAATATCACCTTTCATTCTCTAGATATTAAATTTTTCATCAGTATTATGCAGTCCACCATCTTGATTCTGAAGCAAAGGATTATGGGTAAAGTATGAAAATATAGCATCTGTTGTGAATAACTATCATGATGGAAATGATGTCATCAATAACTTCTAAGCTTGAACTTCAAATTGGTTGAAAATTTAGAACATTGTAGCATACCGATGCTAATCACAAATATAAAATGGTTGTCATGGCAGCAGAAGTGAGAACATTCTATTTGCATTGTTCTATCAAATGCTCAATTGTTCATATATTTTATACAATTTACCAATGACAGTAGCTTATACTGGTTATATAGAATCATTTTTAATTATTTTAGCTTTTTGGCAATATATCTTCACTTGTTTTATCTTTGCAACATTTCAATTTGCACTATATAATATAATATTACACACAAGTAATATTCACACAGAAAATTATGTGAACTTACTTAGTATTTTATTTTAAGTATTTTATTTCATGGATGAAATCATTTAATTGTGATGTCACATTTTACCCACAATTCCTTGCTCGAAAATCAAAATGGTGACAATATATATTTAAAGTTGAATAGAAAGAAAAGGTGATATAGAAAAGCAGTTAAAGATATTTCCATGCATTTGTAGAGCTCATTTATCAGGAAGTATCATGCTGTTAGCATCCCCTTTCAATAAACTGTGACTCAAAACAAATTTTTTAAATAAATTATGTTTTTATATTTCTACAATATCTCCAGCTTGATTAGTGTTATGATGTGTCTGGAATGAAATTATTAATTTAAAACTTAATGTCAACATGAAAATTTTTGTTCTCATGTTTTCAGCCATTTCCATTGTTTTCTAAACTATTTATTCGGGATTAGAATTTGTTTTAAGTAGAATGTTTAAGTAAACCTATGATCTATAAATCCGAAATAACAAAGATTTTGAAGCAATACAGATAAAATGAGTGTTTATATATGATTATCATATAATTTTTCAGTGTACTGACTATTCCTTCATTTGATGAGAAATACTAAACTTAACACATAGTAATAATTCAAACACCTTAAAATAAGTAACTTATGTCACCAAATTCCTAGCCCTCGAATTTAAATTTGGTAATATAGTACCTATTGTTACAATAAATAATGGTTATACAGAGACATATATCGCTATGCTCGGTTATTATTTTCCGCCAAATATGCTAATTTTCACCAGTGAGGTTTGTATCTGCTACCAAATATCCTAGCTTGTCGTTTATAACCTTTAAACGGAAAATGTAAATAGGCAATGATGATTGTCAGAACAATGTAATGGATTATATGTCTCGTATTCAGATAAGCGCAGGGGTGACTCGTCAATTCACTTAATCAATAATTTCACAGTGGAGGCGTAGTGGATTATGCTTGTGAAAGAATACTTGTAAATGGTTGTTGTGTGGCTCCCTGTTTCAATACTTTCAACTTTAGTGAAATGGTTTCTTATTTATTTCACAAAAAGTCTTTTAAAACTTTTTAAAATCTACTAATCAATGATAAAGTAAACAAATTTTAAAATCAACTTTAAATTGCTTCTCGTCATTGCTTGCAAAAATGAATGAGAATATATCCAATGTAAAAAGCACACATTAGACGATTCTCAAAAACAGCCTGATTAGGAATGCTATAATTGTAGGTTATTCTTTCGATTTGATGATTATGTCGCAATTCATATGACTCATTTAATTTGTGTGTGATCTTTATGGCATATAAACTCTTGCATAAAACAATTTTATAAATCCTTGATAAACGCCATACACCATTTAATATGTGACATGACATGGCAACTCATGTACATTTCTTTGGGTACAAAATTGGTCATTTTTGTTCAGTATTACATAAAATAAATAAAGCTGAAAATTAGCCAAAAAATGTCCCTTTAACTAATTCTGCTATCTATAAAGGTTACATTGTATGTTAATATCAAATAAAACTATCAGATTTAATCAATTAGAGGTTTACTGGTGTTAATTTGTTGATTGAAGCATCCTCTGTCACTATAAAATTTGTTATTGAACCAGGGGTGTGATCACTAAGAAAAACATTCACAAAAACATTTTTTCAACTATTCAGCCAATCGCAGCAAGTCACTTCATAGCATTGTGCTAATCCTCTGCAACTTCCATGAAGAACTGATCAGTCAGTATAAAAATGCTTTAAGCGTACACGAATGTATTCTTTAGTGAACACATCCCTGCTCTACTGTGGTGTATGCTAAAATTACTGTGAAAGGATTGTTGTGATACTTTGTAGTTTCCGTGAAAAAGAAATTGTGATATCATGTACCCCCCCTTCTCATCACTGATCTTGATATTCACCAACCGTCATCAATGAGGCAAGAGCAATGTAGCAACACTTGATTCAAGTGACGTTGTTTTTTTGCTAACAGTCACGCATCCTTGTAGTTTGACAGAGTATGGCAGAGTAGGTAATACTGTCCAAACGTTTGTCACAGGGTCGTAACACTCCATAGTATCTACCGGAGAATTGGGTTGGCTCTCACCACCTGTGACATACAGTTTACCGTTACACACGGTAGCGGCACAGCTGGCCCGTTGTGAATTCATACATTCTACTTGTCTCCAACTGTCAGTCTCCGGGTTGTAGCAGTGGACAATCTTCGAAACACAACCGACAACGTAGATACATCCCCGTAATACTTCCACTGATATACATGCGAGACAATGCGGCATGGGAGCGACCAGTGTCCAGTTATCGGTCTTTGGGTCATAGCACTGGACTTTATCAGTCGCTATATCATTTGACGTCACCCCTCCTAGAACATAGATTTTCCCATCACATGTAACAATCCCTGGTGAACTCACAGCTTCCAGTAATGATTTCACCTAATCAAAAAAAAATATTACAAAAGATTAGAACAACCCATCACATAGAATGTTTTTTTTTATATATTTTTGTCTCTTCCAAGTATAAGTGAAAATTGTACAAAAATTATATTCCAAATATGGGACTAGGTACTTAAAAAGGCTGCGTGACCATCATCCTATCATGACAATTTAGGACACTGACCCTGTGACAATGGACCTAATCAGATCTCAAAATGTACATTAATAATTTATCTTTCCAGTCTTCAATCCACGAACACAGTAGCAATTTCATTGATATATACATAAATTTAATGTATGGATAACTCATCAAATACAGATTTGGTGGTATTGGAGGCAAACAATTTTAGAAGGATGAAGTGCGTATTCAAGTTTATAAATTTATGTTAGACTGTTCACAAATACTGAGAGACTGACATCAAAACCATTTGCAAATAAACTCACTTTTATACAATACATTTAACATCATGGTACATATTGTATGTAGTGGAAAGTCTCTAATTATTATGCAAATTATCTCATTAATTTTGTACATATTTCATGAAATCATGAAATTTCATCAAGATCTTATGAACAGATTTTAAGATGTATCCAGAAAAAAAAAGTTTGTGAATTATTATGCAAATTAAGCAATATATATGCGCAGATTCCAACAAAAAGCTAATGTTTATGAAATGTTTGCTAGTATTTACCAAATGTCATTGGAAATACAATGATTGGCTGGTGAGATATTAGTGGAGGAGACACACAGAATGACTCAGTTTGAAAGCTAACAGTACCCAGTAAGATTGATATTGATTGAAATAATGAAAGCTGACAACACCACACTTCAGCTGGTAGGTAGTACCTGCTTTTATAATGAAGAAATGGGAAATGGAAACGCTAATCAGTTTTGTCACATTCACTCATAAATTAATTGTAGCAAGTAGATGAATATTATCCTTAATATTTTAGTTTTAACCTTTGATCACATACATGTTACAACTACTCTGTGTAATCAGAGGTCTGTAAATGCACCTGAGAGTTTATGGTATGTCAGTTCTCTGTTATTATATAATTCATTAATTATTTCTCTTTGAGCTCTTGATTTTGTACCCACTCGACTCAGCAGATTGACTACTCAAATCAATTGTTTTTTAATGCATCAGTAACATGATTTATTTTTGAGCTAAGAAATAGTGATTTAATTATTTTTAAATCAGTATTTTAGCTATTAAAAATAAAAATTTGAACATTTGGGGCCAGATACAGGGTCTTCAGAAAACTGGTATGTTATCAATTGATTTTATTTTTCGTTGTTTTTCATACATAGCATGCTCCCCATTAAAGACGATGGCGATTATATTACATTAAACATTAAATTCAACTTGAAAATTGATGTATTGGCATTTTTTCACAAATCATTCCCTTATAAAATATGAATATTATTTTACCTGTTCCCAATTATTGTTTTTGGGGTCAAATCTTTCAGTACTACTGAGTCTAGAGGCTCCATCGTAACCGCCGACAACATAAACATAACCATCCAATGATGTTGATGCATGACGATGTCTTGGCTGGTTCATTGGCGCTGATTCAAACCACTTGTTACGCTTTATGCTGTACATTGATACCTTACCCTGCAAACCAGTGACGTAAATATCATTACCAAGGGAAGTCACACTGTACACGCTGTCGCTATGTTTCGGTAGTTTTGTTAGCAGTGACCATGTCTGCTGCGCTGGTTCGTAGGAGTACACTTCCATTACTTTACTATTGCCGATGCCAACACCGCCAACAATCACAATGTTACTCTGCAGACGAGCTCGCATCCTGGGTGGCGTTATCAAATTTGTTTTTTTAGAACGGTATTTTTTCGTAACTGCCATGAACTTATCAAATACTTCAGATGTTGTAACATATTCATTGCGTAGAATTACTTCAAGGAGATAGCGTGATGAGAGTAAATTGATTCGTAACTGTTCTAAAAGCTCTGGCAAATGTTTCAGTCTGTTTTTAGGATCATACTGTACCCAACGAATCATAGTTTCAAACACGCTGTCCTCTTTCTCAATATGTAACTCATCACATGACAAATATTCCAAAATCTCATCTTTTTGTAGAAGTTGTATTTCGCTATGTCCACATACTTCGGGGAAATTCTCCAAAGAAAAATGCCAGGCTTTCTCACACAATTCTTGACATGAGTAACGATCAGCAAAGTGATGAATCCCCAAACAGTTGTGCATATCGAGCTGCTTTTCGAGGAATTCAGCACATGCATCACGTACTGGGATAATCTGAAAGAGGTTGGCGGCTTCCAGCAACGACTGTACATTTTGTTCTGTAATCACCACCTTTGAGGTGTAAGCGTATCCTAAAATCAGATTCATGCTTTCGGATTTAATATCCTGAATAGTGATATGGTTTTCTGTCTTTTCCTTAAGATCTGATGAGAACATTGACATAAAGTAACTACTAGTGGCTGCCAATACGTTTCTATGGCAATAAAACTCCACATTATCAACACGTAATATGACATCAGTAAACAGCTGGCGTTCTCTCATCTGCTGTAATTCCCTAAATGCACTCACACGATGTGATTCTTCCGTGAATTCATAGATATTCGGCTTAAGCGCTGTTGTCGGCTCTCCAGGCATCAGCGGTAACGGCCCTAATAGCGAATTCATGGTTATCTCCTCACCACTAGAAACACCCTGCAAAAAAAAAAGCAAAATAAAAGTATTTAAATACATCACTGATAATCTCTATACGACATCCATCTCCATGCATTACAATGCTTCAAACATGGCATATCTCCGAGATTTGCAAAAAATCCTCCATAACACATGAAAATGCAGAGAAATTCAGAATTCTTGCCTGTAAATTCAACCACTTGAGTATCTTAGTAACAGGCATTGTATGCTGAAATCACTGAGTGAGTGAAACACATGCATACAGATGCACACGGCAATACAGACAGATCATGCTGCTGTACAATTATCAAAATACTCTATTAATATTTATTACCGATATCATTAACATATCAATAGTGAATTGTAAATATGTTAATGAGTTGTTTGATTCTATTTACTGTAGAATACTTTATTTTCGCTTGGAATTTATTTTCGCTATTTTCACTGAAGGAATGATTCAGTGAAAATAAAATCCAGTGAATATGCATTTTTTCCTACATTTTACATTCAACTCATAAAAAATCAGTGAAAATAAATTCCACACAAAACACCCAAATAGTCTTTTCAGCGAAAATTAATTCCAGCCAAAATAAAGTATTTTACAGTGACCAACATTTTGATAAATGTCAGTATTCATTATTGCAGAGACTGTGTCTTAAATACGAATATCAGTCAAAACTGTTTTATTTCCGTGGAACTTTTCGACTGAGGAAACATTTTGTTTATAATTCTTATATACCTGACTCATATTTCTATACACTATTAATTACAACAACGGCAGTATTTGAATTTCATCAGGTCATGAGTACTGCATATTGAGAAATAAACAGATGATTTAATGATATGTTGTTATATATTAAAGTATCGGTACTGGTAATTTATATGGATGATGTAAAAATTTGGACAAGAAATTGAACAATTTTTAAGAAAAAATCACTAACAATTTACTGACGAGTTGCCTGTTTTATCAAGGATTTCTATGATAATACTGGTACTTTTTGATAATTTAATTGTTAATAAAGGGAATTTCCCCCCAAAAATGAAAAAAAAAATA